TTATTATTGACAATGAAAATGGCAAGTTAATGAAATTCATATTTTTGTGTGTGTTAATTCTGTAAGCAAGTCCCTACTCTGATTACCTAACATATAATATAATTCTGCCTTGCCATTGCCTGAATACAAACACTGCTTCCAAACAAGTTTAATAAAAAAAAAGAGTATTCAAATATAAAACCATTCATTAATCAAGCATATGGTCAAAGATACATTTGGTACATAGACTCAATAAACTAGAAACTTGGAGGGAAAAAGGTGAGTACTCAAACACTACTTCCAGTCAAGGAAAAGACCCAGCATGAATACCGACAAGAAGTAAAACCCTTCCCTTGGAACAATGAATAACAAAGCCTTGCTTGGGAAAATGAAATATAAAGTTTATATCAGGTAGTAACCTTTTGTCTTTCCTGCTTAACTATTAAAAATAAATAGCAATTTATTTAGAAGTTTGCAGGCTAGACAAACTCTAATATAATAACATCAGCATTTTTTAAGCTGATAAAAATAAAATTTCTTTACAAGCAAAGCAGATTTTGCCAGGAGAGGTAAGTACATAATGTTGAGATCCTCAAAGAGCCCAAGGCCATTCCTTTACAATGGTTTAGTTCTACACTCATTCTCCATTTCCCCAACAATCCTCAGTAATCTGAAAGTCCTCTAGTATCTAAACAGTATCTGATTCGTCTTTTTTTTTTTTTAAATATGTTTTATTGATTTTCTACAGAGAGGAAAGGAGAGGGATAGAAAGTTAGAAACATCGATGAGAGAGAAACACCGACCAGCTGCCTCCTGCACGCCCCCCACTGGGGATGTGCCCGCAACCAAGGTACATGCCCTTGACCGGAATCGAACCCGGGACCCCTGAGTCCGCAGGCCGATGCTCTATCCACTGAGCCAAACCGGTTCTGGCTGATTCGTCTTGAGCACATTCAGTGTATGTTTGGTTCCAATGCTCTACCTGATTTGAGGTGAATTCATTTGACATCTGTGAACTCAGAAAGCAGGTTCCCAGATGCTTGTGGAGGGTTGGTACCCTTACAACACTTTTGCCTTCGGCAAAAATGTATTTCAATATAATTATAGTAGATAGCTTTCAATATGTCATCTCTATTATAGCAGCTATAAATTATGAAGTGAATTGCCTGTGTACAAGCATTTCTTCTGGTACAAGCAAAGTGGGAGAGCTGCATAGGGCATGATATATCTTGTCCGTTTTAACTGAGAACAAATGTCTAAGTCAAATTTCATTTGCATATACCAATGTGTCCATTTCCCTTTGGTAAAGAGGTGAAGGAACCAAGAAGGCCTTCAATTCTTAAAAACAGGCTTCCCAGAACGCTTGGTTAAAGTTCATTAGGAATTCACCTATTCTAATAGTTGGGCCTTTAATCATAAGAGCATATTTGAAAGGTAATGTAAAAGCATTTTTCAAAACTTCTAATTAATGAGAAGACAAACAAGCAATAAGGTTTTTGTCCAACTAAAGAGGGAGGCAATGCAGCCAATACAAGTAGTATGACAGCTGCTGCAAGCTCTGGAAAATTGTCATATTCCTATTTGGTGTCAGGATCAACAAGAGAAAAGTAAAATAGTTTTGTTTCCTTTGGGTGTGGTAATGATATTCAAGAATCTGATTCTAATATATATTCTATTATTTAGACTATATTCTAATATTTAGCCTAATATTTCAAAAGGGTTTTTATAAGTGAGTTTAGGTGATTATCACTAAAAATAATTACATCTAAGCCTATGTAATGGAGACATATGATCAAAGGACATTTTATAGAGAACCAAAAGAGGACAGTATATTAAAGATAGTACCATTTCTAAAACACACATAAAACTGAGCCTTGCAGCTTGGATTTAATTTTGCTCAAACTGTAGCTCTAGTCTGCTTAGCTTTGTAAATGTGGCTATGTTTATAAGGTACTTTAATTTATGGCAGTGGTAGTGTGTGTTAATTTTATGGCAATCTAAATCTAAACAGGCTTCAGATACATTTTCATTACAGCTTCATTGCAAAACACAGTAGAGTGAATAGCTCTAGATTCCAATGTAGTTTATTTCTTTTAATAAAAGACTCAACACAATTTTCGGATGAAGCTTCTGCCTTACTTAACATATATGTTCTTCCTATTTACTAACAAGCTTTCCATCACTCAGAATACCCGTGTTCACTTTAGGAGGAAAAATCAAGTGATTAGAATAGTTGTGTTTTATTTTTCCATCTCTACTCTGATTCCATTCCAAATGCAATCCAATATGGGCAAATTAGAAAAAACAAACAAACAAAAAAACAGAATGTACCTGAATTATTTTCCAATTTGACATAAGTAGCAGCATAATTCAATGAAAAGGGCAGTCATATTGTCAGAAGCAGATTTCAATGTCTGATTCTAACACTAACTAGATGTGTGACACTGGACAAATAACTTAACCTGAGTCTCATTTTCTCATCTGTAAAATGGAAATTATAATTCCATCCATTTTAGAAATTTCACCCCTTCATCTCAGTTAGTTCTGCTTAGCCCTTAGCAACTTCAAAACATATCCCTGAAAGGTCAATCCCAGATAAGGACCTGTATCTCAAAGATTTAAAAAGAAAAAGAAAGAAAGAAAAGAGAAAAGTTGACTATCTTATGGTAAAACTTACAGAAGAGCTATAAAAGCCACCCCAAAGACAACTCAAGAGAATTAAATGCCACTGATATTTCTAAAACAATTCAGAACCTACAGAAGAAAACTGGTGAGCTAAAATTCTGTCGAATCAGCCAACTAGTCACCATACTCAATTTATTTACTTGTCCTTAATACTGCAATAACTTCACTTATCTATATTTTTTTCCTTCTGAAAGTGCTAAAAATGAGAAAGGAAACAGACATCTAAGTAGTTATTAGGCTACTAAATATATCTAACAATAAGGTTCATGATTATATTCTAATACTCATTATTTCCCAATATAATCTTTAATCCAAAAATACTTAGCGTAGATTAATTTATAAAAAACTTGTGTGTATGTGTGTATTTTCAAAGCACAAAAAACAAAAAAACAACAACAAAAACCCCAAACCCTGTGACAATGACTGATGTCTGCTTCACCCAACTTCCAACAGGGCTATAGGGAGGACATAAGGAGGACAATGTGAAGAGACATGGCAGGAGACAGTAAGGAATCATCTTAATTCCTCAGCCAAAAAAGTAGAGCCATTTGGCCCAATACTATAGATCTTTTCATGCAAGGTGACTGGTGGTGTTTCTTTAGTAAGTACAGATAGATATATTTAACAGAAAGTTATGCAATTAGGATATTACTACAAATCAGAGCCATTTCCACTGTTTATGCTCAGGGCAATCTTTTCAACCATGACTTATTTTGTTTACTCTCAATTATTCATATGTCAAATCAGAAAGTTCCATTTTTTATGTACATACGTAAGATAATTTTTCTAAAATTCTTATTTGCACATCTTCCACCAAAAATTATTCCTCCAAATGAGACTAGAGATGGTTTGAGATCCCAGAAAGTCCTATTCAGAAAAAAATACATAATAGCTTATAAGATTAATTTATATTGTATGTTAACATAGAACTACATAAATCTTTCTACCCTCCCTAAAAACACATTCACCTCTGGGAATCCAGCATTGTTTAATACCACCACAGCCAGCATATTAGAGAAGGCAATGAAAAAAATAACATATATAACTGAAACTATACAGGGAACTTAGAAGATAAATCAGTATTAAAACTGACCAGGACTGCCACATTACATTAAGGTGTTTGGACTTTAAGACATAACTGACTACATAGTGAAGTATTTATGGGTAAAATGGTATGGTATCTAAGACTACTTTAAAATACCCCACACAAAAAGGGGGGGGGGGAGCGAGGGAGAGACAGACAAAATAAGACTGACAAAATGTTAATATATATTTATCTGGGTGATAGGTATATTTAGACAGTTCCTTATTTTAGATTTAGCTCTATAAAACAGCCAATTCACAACTGCTTTCTGACCTAAAAATATGGCAATTTCATAGAATTTGACTTAATAATATTCTCTTTATTTGGGGGTACATTTAAACATTTCCATATAATGTTTTCTTTAATTACCTTCCAGTGAAAATTCCTCAAACTAAGTAGGTTTTTAGACTTAAACTAACAACTAAAATAAGTTCAAAATGAACCATGAACATTTTACCTTTTTTCATTGAATCTAAGAGTTACTTATTTTCCCCCACATTTTAACATCTCTGAAGTTTGGAACCATTTCGCAACCAATGTTATAGTTAAATTGGGCAGTGTTAATTTTTTCTTGTGATATATATAGCAATGATACAACTTAAAAACAAAGTATCTTAGATTCATTGAAATATGGTTAATATAATTGCTGAGAATAGCATTTTTAATCCATATTCTTTAATCAGTAATTTCGCACACAATGGCTAGTATTCCCTGCCCCAGGTTAATTATCTCGGGTGGTTTCCTCCTCAGAGAGACTGGCCAGAACCTGCTTACTTTGTGAAGTTAGCTCCCTCCCCTACAGCCTGGCACAATTCATAAGAATTCCTAGGAGGATTCTGGAACTCACAGCATAGGAGGAAAATCTCACTATGCAGTGCTTCCCTTTAAAAGTTGTCACAGCTTATGAACAAGGCCAGTGCATAAATGCTAATGATACAAAGCTTTGAAGAGCACAAAATGGTGAATTTAGAGGGGAAGGATGGTTGCAGGTGTGGTAGTAAGGGCACATGAATGTGAGGAATGAATATAACTAAAACAAGTAGATGGGATAAAACAGCTTAGCTTCACCTCTGAAATCTCAAAGGGAATTCATTTCATGAATCCAACAATTCACTTAGATTTTAGCATTGACCTTATTTATTTTGTTCTTTGTGTTAACACCTACCCCTCACAGCCCTCAGAATTGGTTAGCGCAGTCTAATAGCAGAGCAATAGAGGTTTGTGCAGGACTATGAGAGTGGCGGCTGCTGACCTGTTCATATTTCTCCAGTTCTGTGTGATAGATTTGTCTGATCTGGGTCAATTTGGCTCTGTAATCTGAGTGTTCAATAGAGTTATCTGAAGAACCTCCAGAGGCTGCCGCGGCTGCAGCTGCTGCCGCCGATCCCCCACCTTTCTCAGGACCTGAAACCCCTTCTGCCAAAAGCATATTGTCCAGTCTCATTAGCTGGGGATCGGGAGGGTCCTCCTCCTGGGCTCCTCTGATGCTGAGACCTTCAAGGAGAGAGAGACAGAGAGAGAATAAGCGAGAAACAGGACAAACAGTTGTATTTTATTTATTTGAGAAAAATGTTCAAACAACATCAGTGTACTATAATTCATGCTGAGAATTTCATTGTTCACATTTTATCAATAAGCCTAAGTATGGAAATTCTTTTCAAGATAATATTTACATGCATCCCAAAATTTTTAAGATCACCCCTTCTCAATTTATCCCAGATTGGATCCTTACGAGAAGGTAGCCTTGAGTTCCTGACATCCAATCTTCCCATATTTAGGTGATTTAAGAATAAAATGGGAAGAGGGTAAAAAATTTGGGATTTTGATAAAGAAAAAACATCATCCAAGGATATAAAACAAACCCAATGAAAGAAAGGTGGTTGTTCTGTTTCTCTATACAGCTAGAATAACAGATTTTAAAATCTCATAGAATAATTAATTCACAAGCTATACCCAAAATTAAAAAATAAGCAGGATCAGATGGCCTTCTCCATTACATAATTTCAGGGGGAGAAGAGAAATACATACATGATGAGGTAATTAGCTATGCTTTAAAATATATATATAATTAAATGCCTTGGTTAAACAATTGTCAACAAACTATAAAACCAGGACACTAATAAATACAGTATTAAAAATGTACCATCAACATGGCAAAACGGTGCTGGTCACAATTGTCTCAATCTAATTTTGCTTTTATATAAAGAACTTCCTAAGTGATGCCCAGTCAGCACCTCATCTGAGTACTATAGATCACAGCTGACAATTCGTAGGTTTAATCAGGTCACATAGGCTTTCTGCCAAGATGTTTTCAACAACACAGAAGACAAAGTTTTAAAATAATTATCGTGGTATAAAAAAGCACTGGAGTCATGACAGCTCAAAATCAGCATTTTCATTAATGTGTAACATAATCTAAAATATCCCAGCCCAATTAACCTCTGGAAACCTGTTTAAAAACAGGTTCTTCACACTAGTTACAAGGCATCCTGGGGAAGGAGGGGAAGGAAGTTGGCATCTTGCATGTCTGCATTTGGATTCTGCCTTTTGCGTCTGTGCCTGTTGTTGTTTATCCACAGTGGTGCACACTCTGTGTCTGGTGTAACTTACATGACAGTAACATCTATAAGCTGCCAAGTACTCAACTGAGCACCAGCTCTGCAATTTTATGCGCTAACCTAAAACTATCATCAATTCTTTTAAGAACAGATTTCATTCCTAGATGTCCTGAATTACACCCACAGCAGGAGAGAGCTCTTGGTTGTCTTAATTCAAATGCACAACTTTAATTTCCTCCCTCAAAACACTTTAAAGCTGTCACTTTCATTTAAAAATATATTTCAGAATAATTTCAACTGGGTAATAAAACTAACTCAAAATAATTTAAAATTATGTCTGTTGCCTGTAGAGGAAAATAAATAAGGTTTGGAAACTATAATATACAAAGACAATAATTCATTTAGGGAACCAAAAAGTTAGGAGTCCCTTAAATAAGATAAAAACAGTATCAGCACATTGCTGATAAAGATAGACAAACATGTATTTGCTATTTCTTCTAGATCTAGAAGAAACTGCCAAATATTGGTTACACTGGTATTTTTAACATCTTTCACTTTCTTTCCTTCTAATTCATTTTATTAGATGGTAAAATCTCATGGCCTAGACACACTTAGAGTTCCACATACCAAGTTTTTGTGCCTTTTACATGCCATGCAGACTCACTGAGCTTATCTAACACTTCAGGCTCTGTTTCATTTTATATTATTCATTTGGGAGTTCCTTACATTTCTCCTTTTTAAATTAAACTTTTGCTCACACTTTTGTGTTTGTTGGTTCTGTGTGGAGATAGAGAGATAGATAGATAATGGTGCTTCTCCTGGAAATGTGTTTTATCTACCTTCAAAGTTCCTCAGGTTTCTAGTTTTCCCCTTGTACTTATATTTATTGATCTTTTCTTATGGACATTTGGTGAGGTTCTTTAATAGTAAATCAACATCCATAGACAAAATTTTTACATTTCCCTGCACATGTGTGGCACACAAGAGAAGATGCTCAATGGCTAATACACAAGAAAGCAGGGAGACAAGAAGGAAATTCATCAGGAAGAAATGCAAGATACAAATTAATTAGCCATCTATGGCACTTTCATCCATACCTAATATGCATATAAAACAACACCACCATACCAGTAGGAAGCAACCCTTAAACTCAATAGTAGTCAACACAAATAAAAAGAATCATAAGTATGTCTTGTGACAAATAATACCTCTTCTAAAATCATAAGTAAATCAACACTTCAGTGGTTGCTTCAAATACAGGAAGAATGTTTTAATGTAATCTTTCTGCATTTGCTTTATAAATTATGTACATCAAATCTAATCAGAAAAATCATTTCCTGACAAAAAGTTCACACTCCTATAGATGAAAAGTCAGAGTCACACATGGATTCCAGTCATAACACCTACTCCCCTAGGCACCTATAAACATTTTAATGAACCTAAGTTTGCAGGGCTATAATGAATAGAACTAAGTGGCTTTCAAAAGATATTGATATCTTCAAACTAAAACTTGGGAAAACAATAATTTAAAAATTGGTCATTCTTATTTTTAATCCAAAATGTGTACAGCGACATTTATAGAGATTTATAAAGCTTTACATCTAGGCTTTGTTATCACAGAATTATAAAGTGTGTTTTTAAAAAAGCCCTATGTGCAATCTACTTATAACCACAACATTCATTTCAGTATCCCTAAGATTTAGACAAATCATACAAACACAGTAAAACATTGTTTAACAACGAACTTGGCTTTGTTATAAGCCCATAGTTTTTGCATATCTTTCGGCAAATCCTAATTAGCTGTCTTTCAACATGCTGTGCACCTGCCCCGCAGATAATGGGAGAGAGCATCTGCATAGACGACTGCATTCGGAGGGCAATAAATAAATTACGGGTCAAAATTATTACAAAGCTTCCTCGGAATAAACGCATACCCTTCACAATACTAAGCTGCAGATGTGAAAAGTACCTAAAGCCCACTCAAATGGTATGATTATGGGGCTGTTGGAGTTTAATAATCTGACTGTAATTCAGGCATTTTCAACAGCTCATTAAGGGTTCATTAATATATAGGCAAGCTTTTGAATTATAAATAAGCAGATTAGAAATCTGCAGTGGCTGAATTGTACAGTAGTAGCCTCTCTAACAGAACAACACTGTAACACGACGAAGGCTTGACCTGAGAAAATGAGATGCAAATACAGGGCTTCGCAGCTTCCTCATTTCAAGGACCAACCCCACTGGATCATGAGTAACTTCTGCTCATCCAGGACTGAAGAGTGGCTTCAGACCATGGCTGCTGCAAATGTGTTCCACACATGGTCATGAATTAGGCACTAATTAAAATCTAGCCCTACAATATTTCCACAATCAGAGAAGATACACAATATCCACGGTAATGATAAAGAAAAGTTATCGAATCATTTTTACTTTGTAAACAGTACATTATTTAGAGCTGCTGTGAAACAGAAAGCTATTATGGAAACTGTAGTTGTCTGATTTTTCCCCCTAATGAGCATGCCATAAAACTAGGTCCCAAATTATTCATAGGCTTAAGCCTATGAAATCTCTATAATTTTGTTCTCTGACGGACTTCCTCTTGATTCACTCAACTGCCATACCAATCTTAGGAAAATGTTTAGCAGTATCATGGAAAGCAAGGCCAGATCAGATATTTTTGGCCGGCCCTGAATTCTTGACTTCTGTGAAACTAGTGCCAATTCTATTATTTTCTTTTGTTGTTGTTTTTATAATTGTCCACAGATTTTATTTTGTGTCTGTTATTTAAAAGTAACAAGCAGGATTGTGGTCTGACAGTACAAAGATGATTAAAGAAAACACCAACTTTACTTTCAGCTTTCTTCATTTTAAAATCAAGTAAGCCACAGTTTGAGAAACATAAACCAAATTATAGATAAATAAGAGAGATTAAAAAAAATATGTTGCTACTTTTCTCCCCAAACCTAAAAAAAAAAGGGCAAAATAATTTTTCACCTAATATCCGTAACTAACGAAAAGCAGTTTAAGTATGAAATAGAAGACCTGGAAATGAAATGAAGGTCACAAGCCCCATGGTTAAAAAATCTCATTTGAAACAATTACCTTTGGTTGTGCAAACTGGAATATAATTTGGAAACAAAATAAACAAACTGAAAAATTCCTCAAGGTGCCATTATCTAAACCAGATTTGATATGGGGGTGGAGAAAGGGAGATTGGGGTTCTCAGACAAACAGTGAATGGATCAGAGATAAAGCTAAGGAGACAAGACCAAGTAGAGGTAAGGCAGATGCTTAAGTGGGGTCTGACTGAATGAGAGAGACGCAAAAAGCAAAAAATAAAAAAGCCAACTGAATGATATCAGCACCTCCTAAAGAAAGATCTGGAATAATATTTGCACATAAATTTCGTGCTGTCCTTCTTAACTCTAAAGATAAAGACTTGTAATGAAAGGGAAGAATCATATTATTTTATAGATATCAGTAGAAGCAATTGGAAAAACAACCAATTTTTAAAATATTATGAGAAAATGACAGATGATATACTAGTAGTTGCCTATCACTATCTGTGGCCCCATGCCCATCCCACTCTGGCTCCAAATCTCCTTTTAAGCCAATGTTAGTGTCTAATCCACTGAATATGGCAGTCATATTACAAGCTAATGTCACTTTCACTCCTATTTAAGGTGACTGTGTGGTGTGTGCACGTTTTTCATGTCAGGTGTATTAAATATAACACGGCAATGCACTGCACATTTCCACGCCAACCTAGTTGTCACTTTCGCTTGACTCATTCTCTATTGAGGAAAAATGCAGCACTGGGAATTTACAAGGCTTTTCAGTTAAATGGACATAAATCACAGGTTTCATTCAAACCGAATAATCACTGGCCATAAAGAGCTACTTGTCTCTTACCATATATTACAGTGAAGTTCCTGT